TTTGTTTAATTTAGAAGTTTTAATTCAAATTGGAGAAATCTATTAAACTAAATTATTTAAGGTGTTCTACGCTAGAATTATCATGAATATAAATTAAATTATAAAATACCTGTTGCATATAAAAATGTATTCATATCTATTTGGCATATTGACTCAATATTGGCGGATGCAAGTGAATTAGTAGCCAATGGTAATTTATCAAAACTTTTACATCCAAAGCCAACTGGAAAYACTGTGTTCTTAGTCAACCTTAATCCACATCCTTTATTTTCATTTTCTAATAGTTGTATTCCATACCAAACTAAATGATGTAATGAACCAGGACGACTCATTTCAAATGACAATACTTTAAATATAAATTATAAGTCATTACATTTCAAATATTATTTATTTACAATACAAGTATGTACTTACTGTGTTTAGGTACAGCATACTGTATAAGTTCTGGAATATTGTAGACTAATTTTTCTGGAGAATAATGAATAAAATGTGATGTTGGTATTCCTTTAGCATATTCAGGGTCGTCAAATATTTTCTAAAATAGAAATTAATTTATAAATAWAGATGAAATATAATATATACAATTGAAATTGGTTGAGTTCTAAGAACTAGTTTATCTGATTGAAAACGGCTATATTGCAGTTGATGAAAGAACACTTGCTGGACGCCAACAAAAACTTGTCTATAACTAAAACTAACTCAAATGCTGGCAGTCATCACTATAAGTGAGGGAATTTACAACAGCGAGTAAGTAATAGTAGATAGAGTTGAAAACTTTAAACATGAAACAGCAGAACTTGTTTATTTGAATGAGCAAAAGAGTAGCATCCTAGAGTAAAGAACAACTACACCTAATGTTTTGTTTATCGTAGCTAAATCTCTTCCTATCTATTTGCCAAAACTTAAATATAAAATAATTTGTACTCAATATCATACTATAAATTGAAAAATTATATTATTTATRTTGACTATATACTACATCTATTAATTTAAGWAAAAATAATGAATACTAATATTGATGAAACTTGTACAATTAAGTTCAAAAATATACCTTAAAGTTAGTTGTTTTCCAATCATTAGTACACAATAGTTTTACATTATCAATAAAATGCTCATCTTCTTTGGCCGTCATAGCACGTAATACAAAGCCACTCTCAATTATCCTTCTGGTACCTTCTAATTCCCATAATGCAACATTTAATTTTTGTTCCATACTAAACTCTTTATTTGTTATACTTTCAAATGTTTGTTTATCAATCGGAGGCGCTAAGGACATTAAAAATAATGGTGCTGCCAATTGATTACTTTTACACCAAGAAGTTGAATTTTCCTGTAAAAAAAATAATAGAATTTAAGTACACGTCAAATGGTCGCCGAATAAAAATTTATTTTAAATTATATTACTTTTTTTGCCAATTTCATAATTACACTTCCTAAGTGAAAATACAGCTGATTGGATAGATGTTGAATAAGACTTCGGTAAAACTCCGTCTGTGGAGATGACATTTGTATAGCTTTGTATAGAGCCTGATCAAGTCTAAAATAAAAATGTATTAACAAAAATGTAAAATGAATAACTATATAAATAAATATATATACCTAAAAAGAACTTTATAGCATTCTGATACAGTTTTTTGCTTGCTTTTTTTTGATTCGCTAATAAATAAAGAAGCCGCATGTTCATAGATAGGTAATACCCGTGAATAGAATTCCCAATTTACTGTATTTAAAGTATTATATGCCTATTAATGAAATTTTAAATATAAATATTATAAATATCATAYGAATATTTATTATGTATAAATACATACTTCACATATTTGCGAAACAGTCTCATACCATTCAACATTATCTTTTTGAAACTTGTAATTTTTTTCTATATTAATTGCATATGAATAAGCTTCAGACAAGCGTCCAGAACTTTCAAATAATTTCAACAGTTTAATTC